AAGCACAATAATTTTATTTCAATGAAATTTGGGATTGGTAAACTTCCTTTGTGTTGCACCCAATGACTTTTCTCCTGATAGTGATTATATTAAACCATCTGGCATATTTGAGTCAGGAAACGGAAACCAGATTAGAGGAAAATGTAAACATTAATCAAAGTTGGATCTGAGATGAATTTCATACTACTCAATGCATATTTTCCTTGTATTTATGTGCTGTGAAATCAGACATAATTCATCAAGAAGCCATTGGGTTTTTCAAAGCTTCACACTGCAGCTTGGTTTTATCTGTAGCCCAAATACACAGTATTGAAGAAGACACAATTATTGTAATGAATCTGATTTAACACATACATACTGCACATACAAATACGAGCGACCAAACTAAGGTTCGTGAACAAGGTGTGTTTGAAAAGAAGTTGTGTGGGTGTGATAAATACTTTCAAGGAGCCTGAAGTTTGGGACAGGAAGGTTAATGAGAGGCCAGAATGACTATAAATGTTCCAAGTTGCCAGGCACATCTATTGTTAAAGACGTTACTGGTAAATGGCCTAAAATGGCTAGGAAATAGATACCTCTCTGAAATGTGAGAGCCAGTTTTAGCAGAAAGCATGTCTTTCTCCCCCACTCTCCCTGAAACAGAAACACAAATTGCAGTTTTGAGTGGGGCAGAGAGAGAGGACCAGCCTTGAACTCTGGAAAACACCTTTTTGGGGACTGTTGCATTCTGCAGAACCGGCAAAGCGCAATAGATTTTGCTGTTTGTGGTATATAAGCTGCGCCTCCACCAAAGCTCTGAAAGGAAATAAAAACCAGTCAAACTTAGTACAATTCAGAGAGGTGGGGCACATGTATACAATTAGACAGTTTGTGGGAGATGCGTCTAGTGGGCATGCTGTAATTTGACATAGGAACTGCAACGGGAACTTAGCCACGCTGTCTGATAAGGAAACAACCTGTGGAACTCCATTTTAACCTGGTTCCGTTTCCAGATATATAAAGATTCAGAAAGCAGCATAACAAAATACAAATGGTTTAGAACAGAGGTGGATGTTATTGGTCTCCAACCATATCTTCTTTGATTATTTGTCATACTGGCTGAGGTTCATGGGAGTCTCAACAGCACCTGGGAGGGCTACATGTTCCCCACCTCAGAATTCAACAGACTGAAAAGATAATTTAGCTCATGCTTGGCTGTACAGAAGCTTTACAAGATACTAATCCATAAAATGCCTATTGGTGCTCATATTCAGGGACAAATAACACAGCACCACAGCTTAAATCTGAATTCATGTCAAACATATAGAAGAACGATGCTTTGCGCCATCAAAACCCTAATATTATTGGAGCTTACAGGCTCCACTTCTCACATCCTGCCCATGTCTCAAACATTCTGCTCTGAACCGCAGAAACCAGAAACGAAAATCCCAAAGTTAGATGAGCACTTCCTGGTCCCCATGGCAACCATCTGCAGTTTTGCATGCTTAAATACTAGTTCTCTTTGCCTTTTTTCCGTGAAGCAAAGCAATATTTCTGCAAATACTTTGCTGCTGCAGTCACTTTGATGTGCCTACACATCTCTTAATTACATGGTGCACTAAGTTTTAAAATATAAAATGGTAGCCTGTCTGAGTGTGAAACCTGCTGGTTCTGTACTTAAAAGAAAACACAGAGGGAAAAATAACCCTCATTATTATGCACATTCAACATTCGTCATAGAGGAGCAATGTTTGCATATACTTATTTCAAGTAACGGATGCAAAGCCAGGCTGTTGTGAATGATTAGCTCTGTGTGGTTATGTTAGCAGGGATGAAAAAGACTCTTTGGCTCTTATATTTGAGCCCTTGGTTTCTGAAAGCCACATGGCAATTTCCTAAACAAATATCACTTCTTTGTGGGAAAGTTGGGTATACTGTATCTGTTCCCCCACGTCTGCATGCACTGAATAGCCACACAGTTGTGGTTTTGGGCCATTGTCCCTTACCCATGATGAAAAGGAGGCCTTAAACATGTTGCTTTACGCAAACCATTTTCCCACATGGAAGGTGATATCCATTTAGAGTATCATCATATGGGAAGTGTCTTTAAAACAAGGCACAGAAATCTCTCTGAAATCTCGCTTGGAAAGAGTTCAAATGTGTATAATTCAGCCTAAACTGCAGCTTTTCCTGAAGAAAAATAATGGCCAAGTGACAAAGAACGGAAAATCATCAGAGGTGTTGACAGAAGTCTAAAATAGTGTATAAGATGAGAAGATATGTTGTATGACTGTTGGAACTGATATGTTAAAAAAAATCAATAAAAATGTATAATAATAATAATAATAATAATAATAATAATAATAATAATAATAATAATAAAATAATAATAGTGGCCCTTGGGAAGCTTATTGTAGTAGCATTTATAGGGTTGCTTAACAATCCCCCCAGCAGCCATTTTTCCTATTCAGCTTGCAATTTCAAGCCATTGGAGATGTGGTTGGAAGCGGGTCAGGTGGAAACAAAGACCCAATTGTTTCCTGGTTCTGCCAGGAGTCAGGCTTTTCAAATCTCTTTCGGGAAGGAACTAATGGAAGGCAGGTTCCTTCTCTAGGTGAGGGCAGAATCACTGATAATTCTCCATCTTGCTTCTGTCATATCCTGCCACAGTAGTTGCCAGCAGGCATCAGAAACACGGAGGGAGAAGAACAAGGAATGTGGCTCATGGAGGACAGAGGGATAATTGTTTCTGAGAAAAACTAGAGTTGTGGCCTGACTTCAACCATCTGGTGGACGTAGAGTTTTGTTGCTACTGTCCTCAGAGCTAAAAGCTTTTGCTCTGTGTTAGGGCTGAAATGTGAATCCGTTGCAAATTTCACTTCCAATTCAGATGGACCCTCAGTAGGAAGTGCAGCAAAATCCCTGCTTCATTCTTTGTAAGGGATTGTTGCCACCACTTTGCCCAGTTCCCCTTCTTTATCAGCTGTGGGGCCTACAGCTGACTAGCAATGGTCTTACAGGGCGTTCTGCTGCAGAGGTTACAGGATACAAGGCAGATAGAAGAAAAAGAAGACAGGCAAAGGCTTGACTACGAAGGCTTGTGCTTGTGGGTTAACAATCTCCATGCTCTTTAAAATGTGAAACATGCTCAGGGGCATTTCATGGTTTCATGTTGAATCACCAAAGTCTTATGGGCTGGCCGAGATTAATGATTAGGACAATTACAGCTTGTTCGAGTTTTGCCTCTCTTAAGAGCCATTATTAAACAATATTGGCTTCCAGCTATGGAACATCACATGGTGTCAGGAAAACAACATTGCCATGCCAGTGCCTGCCAGCTATGAAGGACAAAGGGAGAAGAAAAAAGCTGGGGCCCAATTTCTGATTGCATTGCAAATGGGATGGAACACTTAGGCAACACGAGTCCATCATGCTTAATGGATCAGCAACGGACACCATTTAAGGGCACTTCTCTCAGATCACAATTGAGAGGACTTCCTTTAGGATTGCCACTGGCCCCTCCTCTTATCTCCTTAAAAGCAGATTGCTCTGCAGACATTAGCAGGTGATATTTCCATGCTGTGAGAAGCATTACCCGCTCACTACCTCTGCTATACAGCGGTACCTCAGGTTACATATGCTTCAGGTTACATATGTTTCAGGTTACAGACTCCGCTAACCCAGAAATAGTGCTTCAGGTTAAGAACTTTGCTTCAGGATGAGAACAGAAATCGTGCTCTGGCAGCGTGGCGGCAGCAGGAGGCCCCATTAGCTAAAGTGGTGCTTCAGGTTAAGAACAGTTTCAGGTTAAGTACGGACCTCCAGAACAAATTAAGTACTTAACCTGAGGTACCACTGTAGTCTGTCTTTCTTATTAGGGAAGGAGAATATTTATGGTGGTGCTAAGGGCCTTAGAAGGACACCATTTACCTCCTGTATTGCACTATATTTTCTGACACAATGGTTTATTTGATATAAAGCCAAATTATTGGAGAAGGGCTGTAGTATTAATACCGAGAATGTAGTAAGGAATTAAGCCACAATTTAAAAAAACCTTCCAAAGAGAGGGAGAGGGAAAGTGTGTGTGTGTGTGTGTGTGTGTGTGTGTGAATCTGAGTTCCTCTCCCTCATACTATGACTGGTTTATGCCACTTGCAACCTGTGCAGCAACACTTTGCAGAATTCCAGCTAAAGGAATGCTTGACAAAAGTTGTGGACAACTGCAAATTTAGCACATGGACTAGTCTTTACTAATTGTGACTTTACTAATTGGTGAAGCACAAGTAGAGATTTATGCATTTATTTATTCCTTGGTACACTTGACAAGGCCAGTGTTGCCTTGGAAAGGGGAAAAAATAAACTTAAAGAATGTTGGGTAAGAATGCCCCACTTGCTCCCATGTTGGAATCCAAGCACAGTTGCCATTCTGCTTGTGGAAGATGTATCCTTTGCACTTGCAAGTGCTAGTTCTCCTCATTAAATCGTGAGCATTCCATGCTTACAAAATCCGCATAACCCACCTTTGCATTTCAAACTAATACTTATTTCAAACTTGAATGTAGATACGAACCTTGAACATTTCCTCTCCTCTTGACATGTTCTGTTCAGCTAATTTTTCTAAGGCAAAGTCCTTAGAGAAGGTTTATGCTAATGTAAATAGATATGTTTCAGATTATATAGACGGTATTATCAAAAGGAAACTAACTCCAATGTGCTCCTGTCATGGGAAACTTCATTTGTAACATGAAAGAACTACTTATCATTTCCAAGGCCCTTTTGTGCAGTGCTGCCCACCAAATTCTGAGATACGTCTTGAGTGTAAGGTCAAAAACGTAAAATCTCCTCTGCTCCTTCCAGAATTGTATGGTTTGCTTAAAATGCTTTTGGTTAAATAAATGGTTCGATAACGCCAATAATTTTTTTACTAAGATTTTGAAACAGCCAAACATCTGATACGGTATTTAAAATGTAATGGCCAGTGTCATTGTGTAATCAGTTCTTTGTTTTTCTCTAATTCACAGATTTGAATATAAGTTGCAGATATGCAGGTGTTTTCCATGTTGAGAAAAACCGCCGTTATAGCCTTTCAAGAGAAGAGGCCATTGAGCTTTGTAAAGCTCTCAACAGCACCCTTCCAACATGGGACCAGATGCAGAAAGCTTATGACCAAGGATTTGAAACCTGCAGGTAGGAAATCTACAGGATAGTTTGTTTTTGGGAATTGAAGTCCAGTAACATCTGGAGCGACACCGGTTCGCCACCTCCTGCCTTAGAACAAGCCTGTAAAATAGAACAGCATAGTAATCCCACATCTTTCATTCAGCCCCAAGGGTTCGCATATGCGAAAATTGTGTGTAGTCAAATGCTTGGAGCTGCCCCATGGCAAGCAGGTGAGGGGGAGAGAGAGAATATCCCCAGCACTCTCAGAGCTGGTGTGCTGAGGGGGCCTTGCCCAGCAAGCCAGGTGGAGCACTTAAAAGTTTTTTTTGCACCAGGTCGACTTGGCTTAACCAGCATGAAAAGAGCTTTTAAGCACTCAACTGTGCTTGTGGGGCAATCCCTAGAAGGCTAGGGATGCTCCTGCGAGATCTCACTGAGCATCCCATAGCGTGCCAAGCAGGTGTGGCCCAGCAAGCAAGGTGGAGAGCTTAAGAGCTCTTTTTGCACTCCGTAACTCCAAGCAGACTCAGCATGAAAATAGCTTTTAAGCTCTCTTCCACCTTGCTTGGGGACTTGTGCAATTTCAATCAGCCTGCCTTCAACTGCATATGGCTGAAATTGCACAGGTCAGATGCACGTAAGATGCGGGATTAATGTAGCATTACCCCATGTCAGATGGAGAGACTGAGAGAATAATGTTTTGTTTGCCTTAAGGCCACCTAGGCAGTACCCAGCCAATGCAAGATTTGAGCGAGACTTCCCATCTCCTGCTGCTAATTACCCTGTTAGTCACTTTGCTGTGCCAAACATCATCATCAGCATTGCGTATAAGTACAATAAATATTTACCAACATTCCTGCCCACCTGCAGAGATGTACGTGCCACAGGGCAGCTTCCACATTGATCTGGCAGTTGGGTTGTCTGGAAGGGATTGTTACTTACCTTGAGCAACTACATGGAAGCAGAACCGCAGCCTAAGGGCAACATATGCCTCATTAACTTAACATATTAAATTAGCTTAGGCCGTGTGTGTGGCACCATTACTAATAATTAAATTTTATGAACATGCAACTGAGGGAAAGCAAATTGATAAAGCACCACCTTCTTGTCTATAACACAACCACCTAAGTACTCCTAAGTCCATTCTGTCAAAAGGTTTAACTGCATTGCTTTTGCATCTTTATGATGTGAATTTTATTGCTGGTTTGTGAGCTACACAGTACTTGGACTTGTGTAAGAGTACTTTCAAAATACGCAGAATAAAGGCAAATTCATTGGTATGGAAAGTAATCAGCCTAATTAGCATGGTAAGTAATTAGATTAGATAGTTTCTGATGGTGCAATTGTTCAAAAATATTTAACTGTGTATGGAATAAATGTCAAGCAGAGTTATTAATAGTTGCATAGTCTCCAGGAAGCATTAGCAAAAGGTCTTCACAGTCTTGTTTTCCCTAAGGGCCTGAGTTGCATTATTATTCCTTTTTGCAGGGTATGGGATATAAATTAATGGGATAAACAGAATTATAGTAGAAAAATATGAAGGAACCATCTTATCAAAAATACTGGTCAATGAAGGTATAGAAAAGTCTCTTCAGGCGCAATTGGCAAAATTCTTCTTCTTTTTTAATGCAGCGTTCTGGCTTTCTCCCACCCACCACCCCAAGTTGGGAGGTGTGGGGGAAAGCCCTGTTGTGTAAGTCCTTGTGCAGACTTCTGCTAGCAGGACTCATTAGTTGAATCCTGCCCAAGGAGCAAAAATGATTTAACTAATTCCTTTTTATTTATAGCCCATCCTTCCCAAGGGGCTCTGGAAAGGTTATGGTAATTCTAGATAGGGCCAGGATTGTGTACCTTCTTGCAGTAATGGCAGTGGTGAGACTATCTACCCAGTAGATATTTTTTTCCTATCTTTAAAGTATTCAAACAGAATGCATGTTCTCTTAGATCACAGCCACATGTAGTAAGGATGAGACGGAACCTTAAAGATCCTTCTAAATTTCATTGGAGAGATTCTTTCCATAATGGACAGCTGAATATCCCATATTATGATTTATTTTCTTATGCAAGAGGTTTAAAAGATTAGTAGGGTGCCTAGGCTTGTTACAGAGGATGAGATGGTTCAGGGTTGCTTTGTACATACCATACTAAACAACCCTGGCAACTCTGTCACATCAGACATGCATTGGCTCTGAAGAAACAGGTTCTGGTTTGGTAGATAGTGTTGTTGGACTCACATTGGCAACAGCATGTTTTGCCAATGTTTTGCAATGTAGTGACCTTAATAGTACAGTGGAAATAGTGGTGGACAAGAATTACTCATGTTTCTAAGGCCCGGACCGTGGCTCAGTGAGGAAACTGGGACCTAACTGTTGCGTTCAAGTTCCACAACTGGAAGGGAAAAGGCTCCCGAAACTGTGTGTTGCATGATATTACCTTAAGCCTTGCTAGTTCATGGGAGATGATTTCTGAATATTTAATGCAATGAGTGCCTAAGGAAGATCCTAATTCAGGTCATAATGAAAGGGTGTAGGGTGAAACAAGAAGAGACTGGTCAAGGGGGTGGGGAATCAGAGCTTCTGCACCTTTTGTGGAGCAGGGAATTTCCACAGGCTTTAAGGCAAACCATTAGAGGAGCCCTGTCATATTTTGCAGGAAACTAGTGCCACAATGCCAGTGTCCCTGTGCATTCATCTGAAAAGGGCTTCACTTTCTGCTTGAGTTGGTCTGTTATTAAAAAGCCATTGCTATAGTACAGTGGCTTTACTGTACACCTCAGAACAAAAGAAGTAACACTTTTAACAGCCTGATTCTACACACATGTACTTGGAAATCAGTCCCAGGTTGACAGGGATCATATTAATGGGGTATAATTTTCTGCACCTCAATCCTGAACCAGAGGGTTGTATCCAGTACTGCATGAACAGCATTCCACTCATGAAATAAGACGTTTTATTCTTCTCCTGTCTCTGCTCACCCCTCAAAATCAGTGCTAGCTGCTACACAACCTCTCCCTGAGGTTGTGCAGTGGACTGCAGAGGAGGGTGGGAAAATCTGTTGCACTAGTGGGTGATAGTTGCACAAATGGAACAGCAGCATTCTATACAAGCCAGAGTTTCAGCAGTGGCTACCTTAGAGCCTGTCCAAATTTCTGCTTGTGCCTCTGCTTTCTCCCAAGGAAAACCCACTCTTTACCACTGAACTGGATCAAACGCTGATTGGGTTTTACGCAGATTGATGCTTGCCTACAATTCAGCAGGTTTCAAATGGAAAACCTTTAGGACCCGTGCTTTCTATACAGAGAGTAAGCGGAAGTGTAGATGAGTCCTTAACTGTCTCTCCCCAATCAAAAGCCATTTTTAAAACGGGGGGTGGGGGTGCAGAGATGTTGATTAACTTTTAATAAACCTTTTTGGCAAAGAAGATTTAAAGGAAATTGGTACTAAATGTACTAGAAACTCAGGATAGTACTGCAAAATAACCTTCATTTGTTACATAATTTTATTAACCACATGTTTCACTGAAACGTTCATTGAATCAGTTTATGGAGTTCCATATATGCTGGAAAGCCCTATGCTCAGTACAGAACAGCAAGGGGGACGTTACTTATTTTAGCCAGCATTCCATGTGTAGATTATTGCTACATTTCAACATTTTATTGAAGCTTTGCAAAGTTTAGAGCGTGGTATGTTTTTCATCATCCTTGCTTCTCCTTCACTGTTGTGCTCTGCCCTTTCTTGCAATAACCCCGTCAGTTTCTTCTGCTGGTAAGTTAGGAAAATCTAGAGACTGGGTTAATGGAACACAGACCGGAAAGAGATCACATGTAGCTCCCTAGTATAACCCTTTGTGTAAATAAGGGGCCATTCACCCTTTAATATTTTATCCCCACCCACCACAGTGACATCTGGAATTCAGAACACAGCAGCTTACACAGCAAATAGCTTCAGATGCCCCAAGACAGTGGGCCTGCCAATTGTGCTGCAGGAAAATTCCTTCCCTTTCCAAATCCAATGTCCTAATGCCATTCCTAATGACCAGTACACACCTGACAAATAATTTATATTATTGTTACATCCAATTAATCAATGACGCCACCTAATAATGAATCAAGCCTTTAGTCTATCTAGCTCAGTACTTTCAGTAGCACCTTAGAGACCAACTAAGTTTGTTATGGGTATGGAGCTTTCGTGTGCATGCACACTTCTTCAGATACAGTGTGAATGCACACGAAAGCTCATACCCATAACAAACTTACTTAGTCCCTAAGGCGCTACTGGAAGGAATTTTTTTGTTTTGTTTCGACTACAGCAGACCAACATGGCTACCTACCTATGACTAGCTTAGTACTGTCTAAGCTGTGTGCAGTTGCTTTCTAGAATTTCAGATAGCACTGTTTCTCAACCCTGTTACCTGGGATTTTTTATTTTAAACAAGAGATATCAGAAGTACATGGAGTCAGATGCCTGCATGTTCTCTCTTACTCAAATATTGTCCCTTCCATTTCCTACAATGAGCATTTCTATTTAAAAAATAAAACAAAAGCAAAACATCTGGGAACCCATTGTAGTGTACACATATTCAATACAGCAATATTAATAATAACAATAATATGTCCCATCTGCTGCTACACCTGCTGTCTCTAGAGAGCAGAGTTTCTGGGACTCTAACTTGGACCTTCCAAAGCATTTTCCCAAATGGTTGAATCCGCTGCAGTACTAAAGTGCCATAATTGTTCTATAATTCATTTAAAATATCTAGTAGAGTGCAGGATGGATCATGGCTTGAAAGATACACACACACACACATCAATTATGTGGACAGAATCAGAGTCAGTCTTCAGTAGTTGTAGTAGTATTTATATGCTACCCATCTGACTGAGTTGCCCCTGCTACTCTGAGCGCCTTCCAACAAATTATAAAACCACAGTAAAGCTTCAAGCTTTAAAA